ACTAATAAACCTGGAAGAAATGGATAAATTCCTGGAAACTTGCCTCCTGCCAATCCTAAACCAGGAAGAAGCCGAAACCCTGAAGAGACCCATAACAAGGTCTGAGGTTGAGGCAGCAATTAAGAGCTTACCACCCAAAAAAAGCCCAGATCCTGATGGGTTCACAGCTGAATTCTACCAGACATACAAAGAGGAGCTGGTACCATTTCTTCTGAAACTATTCCAAACAATACAAAAAGAGGGAATTCTTCCCAAATCATTTTATGACACCAACATCATCCTGATTCCAAAACCCGGCAGAGAGTCAACAAGAAATGAAAACTTCAGGCCAATATCCATGATGAACATAGATGCAAAAATCTTCAATAAAATACTGACAAGCCGATTGCAACAGCACATCAAAAAGTTTATCCACCATGATCAAGTAGGCTTCATCCTGGGGATGCAAGGCTGGTTCAACATACGCAAGTCTATAAACGTAATTCACCACATAAACGGAACCAAAGACAAAAACCACATGATTATCTCAATTGATGCAGAGAAGGCCTTTAACAAAATTCAGCAGCCCTTTATGCTAAAAACACTCAATAAGCTAGGTATTGATGGAACGTATCTCAAAATAATAAAAGCTATTTATGACAAACCAACAGCCAATATCATACTGAATGGGCAAAAACTGGAAGCATTCCCCTTAAAATGTGGCACCAGACAAGGATGCCCGCTCTCACCACTGCTATTCAATATAGTATTAGAAGTTCTAGCCTGAGAAATCAGGGAAGAAAAAGAAATAAAGGGCATTCAAATAGGAAAGGAGGAAGTCAAATTGTCTCTATTTGCAGACGACATGATTGTATATCTAGAAGACCCCATCGTCTCAGCCCCAAACATCCTGAAACTGATAAGCAAGTTCAGCAAAGTCTCAGGATACAAAATCAATGTGCAAAAATCACATGCATTCCTATACACCAATAACAGACTTAAAGAGAGCCAAATCAAGAACAAACTTCCATTCACAGTTGCCACAAAGAGAATAAAATACCTAGGAATACAACTAACAAGGAACGTAAAGGACCTCTTCAAGGAGAACTACAAGCCACTGCTCAACGAAATAAGAGAGGACACAAACAGATGGAGAAACATTCCATGTTCATGGTTAGGAAGAATCAATATCGTGAAAATGGCCATACTGCCCAAAGGAATTTACAGATTCAATGCTATCCCCATCAAGCTACCAATGACCTTCTTCGCAGAACTGGAAAAAACCACCTTAAACTTCATATGGAACCAAAAGAGAGCCCACATAGCCAAGTCAATTCTAAGCAAAAAGAACAAAGCGGGGGGCATCACACTACCAGACTTCAAACTATACTACAAGGCTACAGTAACCAAAACAGCATGGTACTGGTACCAAAACAGAGATATAGACCAATGGAACAGAACAGAGGTCTTGGAGGCAACACAACATATCTACAACCACCTGATCTTTGACAAACCAGACAAAAACAAGCAATGGGGAAAGGATTCCCTGTTCAATAAATGGTGTTGGGAAAGCTGGCTAGCCATGTGCAGAAAGCAGAAACTGGACCCCTTCCTGACACCTTACACTAAAATTAACTCCAGATGGATTAAAGACTTAAACATAAGACCTAACACCATAAAAACCCTAGAAGTAAATCTAGGCAAAACCATTCAGGACGTAGGTGTAGGCAAGGACTTCATGACCAAAACACCAAAAGCATTGACAACAAAAGCCAAAATAGACAAATGGGACCTAATCAAACTCCACAGCTTCTGCACAGCAAAAGAAACAATCATTAGAGTGAATCGGCAACCAACAGATTGGGAAAAAATTTTTGCAGTTTACCCATCTGACAAAGGGCTGATATCCAAAATTTACAAAGAACTAAAACAGATCTACAAGAAAAAAACTAACAAGCCCATTCAAAAGTGGGCAAAGGATATGAACAGACACTTTACAAAAGAAGACATACGTGAGGCCAACAAACATGAAAAAATGCTCATCATCACTGGTCATCAGAGAAATGCAAATCAAAACTACATTGAGATACCATCTCACACCAGTTAGAATGGCGATCATTAAAAAATCTGGAGACAACAGATGCTGGAGAGGATGTGGAGAAATAGGAACACTTTTACACTGTTGGTGGGAGTGTAAATTAGTTCAACCATTGTGGAAGACAGTGTGGCGATTCCTCAAGGACCTAGAGATAGAAATTCCATTTGACCCAGCAATCCCATTACTGGGTATATATCCAAAGGATTACAAATCATTCTACTATAAGGACACGTGCACACGAATGTTCATTGCAGCACTGTTTACAATAGCAAAGACCTGGAACAAACCCAAATGCCCATCAACGATAGACTGGATAGGGAAAATGTGGCACCTATACACCATGGAATATTATGCAGCCATCAAAAACGATGAGTTTGGGTCCTTTGTAGGGACATGGATGAACCTGGAAACCATCATTCTCAGCAAACTGACAGAAGAGCAGAAGATCAAACACCGCATGTTCTCACTCATAGGCGGGTGTTGAACAATGAGAACACATAGACACAGGGAGGGGAGCACTACACACTGGGGTCAGTGGGGGGAAAATAGGGGAGGGACAGTGGGGGGTGGGAAGCTGGGGAGAGATAGAAAGGGAAGAAATGCCAGATGTAGGTGATGGGGAGGAAGGCAGCAAATCACACTGCCACATGTGTTCCTATGCAACAATTTTGCATGTTCTTCACATGTACCCCAAAACCTAAAATGCAATAAAATAAATAAATGGGAAAAATAAAATAAAATAAAAAGTGTAACCATCATGTTACTAGAACTGAATATTGAAGTGATGGTCAAGATTCCACAAAGGTTAGCTGAAAAATTTTAGGGAAGTTTGATTTATAGTTATAATGTTAAAAAGTCAGAACACAGAATAAAATATCACCCAATTAATTTTCTAATCAACTACTTTAGTTTTCTCCAACTTTTACTTGTATGCACACCCTTACATTCACGTGAGAATTAAATGTTAGTTTCACAATAATAATGCAGTGTAATTTTAACTGCCCCAAGAAAGCTCTATAAATAAGGACATTTGATTTCCAGTATGCACAGAAACTCAACTGGTTATTACTTTGCAGACAATAAAAGGCAGGTTAAAAAAAGAAAACACCCATGTTTGTGTATTCCTTTTTCCAAACAGGTCATAAGCATACTTGATTAGAGAGGTAACACTTGAAGTCACTTTCACGGAAACCTCACACTATACATTTGCCGTTCTGCAGAATCACGGCATTGTGCTCTCACTAGCCTGCCCTTAATGTCTAAATAAATATTACAAGTCCATCTATAAACCTGGCTTCTTACCCACACAAACACCTAACTGGAGGACAAATACTAGATTCTAAAAAAGTGATTACAGTGCTGGATGTTAATTCTTCATACTCAGTAAATTGTCAGGTCACAACTAAAAGTATATTTGAAGTTTTAAATGTCTTAAAAATTAATTGTCAGACCCACATAGAAATTACAGCTTTTGGTTAATTTTCTCGGACACAAATACCAAAATATCAGCAACAGAAGAAATTATTACAGAAAGAAGGAAGCTCTAAAATTTATCTTAAATAACTGCCAAAAATTTACTCATTGTTATCATTTTATCCTTTCTCTTGGGACTGCCTTTTCACCTTACATATAGTCTGAAATGATCTTTACCTTTTGCACATTTCCATTAAAAACTTTACTGGTGAATTAGTTGCTGGCTTATGAGTTTTAAAGCTTAGTATGGCATTCTGAGTTTCTAGAGCAAGAAATTCACTTTCCCACTCTACCTTATGGTACCCAAGGAAGCCAGCTGATGTTGCAACTACTCTGATTAGTTGAACACTTTCATATTTAAAGGATGACTGCTACCTACCTAACCTGTGCTCTTCTTCAGAATCAGCAAAAATCACAACAGCATCATAAATACAGTTTTGACTAAATTCAACAGTAAAGTCCTCAAATACCAACTGTACAAATGAAACATAAGGAGAGAAACGTTCAAAGAGGAGAAGAGAGAAGCTTAAAGGATTTTCCTCTGTGTATTTAAAAGCTCCTTGTCACACTCTTATATGCCTTCACATAGAAATGTAAATAACTGCAGCCTCTTTGAAGGGCAATTTGGCAATGACTACCAGGTTTAAATGACCAAACCCTTTGAGCAAGCAAGTCTACTTCTGGAAATTATACATAACTGCATGTGTCTAAAGATGCTGGCAGATATTCATGGCAACAGTGGCAGATATTCATGACACCATGGCTGGTATGAGCAAAGACTAGAAACTTAGTAAACATCTGTTAATAGGGAGCTAGTTTAACATATTCTGACATATCATACAATATTTTATGCAGTTATTAAAAAGATCTCTGTGGGCTCATCTGGAATGATCTTCAAGATATTTTTCAGTGAACAAGACATTGCCAAGCAGCATATGTACATGCACACACATACACGCATGCATGCATGTACATTAATAAAGCTCAAAATACCTCCCAAGGACACTGTAGTAAGTTATCAATGTTTGCCTGCAGTGGTAGGATGGGAATCTGATGAGCAGCCTTACTTTTTGTTGTGTACACTTTTAAACCACTGAAAGTCTTCAAAACCACACACACCCAATTAATTTTCAGAGTAAAAAAAAAAAAATGGCAAGTGGCAAAAGCTTCTAGTCATAATGGCAATTTAACAATTGAGATGAATTAAGTTGTGCATAACTAATGTAACTAAATTCTCTATGAAGTAAAGTGATTCCTCAGTTGCCTACCTTTATAATGTATTTCTCTGGAGCATAAATGAACCAATGACACCTTACATTACTGGAATACAAATCAGGATACTTGGCAGAATGAATTGTCACTTCTACCAATATAATCACACTCTCACAACCTGACCCTGTGGAAGCATTGGGGAAATTCAAAGTGAATGGCCAAAGGCATTTCCTACTCCTCATCCCCACATCAAGGGAAAATGGCAAGGAAGTAAATACCTGAAACACTCACCTGCGTCTGAGTTCTGTACAGCAGTAAAAGTAAGCTCAAAGCCATTGCCACTGTCTTCTGTGTCAGAAACAAATGTAACCGCGGCCTTATTGGTCTCTGTCAGCAATGGTGAGGGCACTATATTTCCATAGACCTTACCTAAAAAGAAAACAAGGAAAGTAAAATAACATTACTAAGAAGTGGTGGAAACTTACACATGTTTGTTTTTCATCATCTTCCACAAGCTGTCTGGTCTAAACACACTAAGCTATTTAGTGGTCCTTTAATCATTCCATATTCCCTGCTTCGGTGACTTTGCTATTCCATTTGCCTTCTCACCCTATCTCACATGTCCAAATTCTACTCATTCTTTAGGGCCTAACTCAAAATTCAGCTCTCCCATAAACTCTACCAGATAACCACTGGAAATAAGAGCTACCTTTTCTGAATCACCGCAGCACATTCCCTATTCTAACAGCATTCTCTACTTTATGTTACACCTTTGATTACCTCAAACTACGAACTTATTTGGGCAGACAGTGCTTTTTATCGAAAAATGTCCAGTACCTAGTACAACAGCTCATATACAGTTAATTAACAAATGACTGGTTGAAAGAATAATTACTGTGTAAATAGCAGGCCTGAGCATGAAATAATTTAGTCAGTAAATATTATAACCCCTGGGACAGCACTTTGTCTATAGCTTTCTGTCAAACGTGTGAAGAGTTATTTGTCCTAACCATTAGACTTATGGAGACCTAGAGATCAAGGTCTATACCAGCTGTGGAGAGTTTCTATCATGTTTAACATGTAGTATTTCAATGAAATTAGATCTGTCGGTTTTGTTTATGTAGCTTAAAGAGGTATTCAATAAAAGAAATTGAATGACATGAAATGATCAATTGTGTTATGAGAAAAAAATTATATCAAACAATGTAAAATTCAAAGTGTATGTGTAAAAAGATACATGTCACAGTGCTAATAGAGATTATCTTTAGGTGACAGAGTTATGAATGATTTATATTTTCTTCCTTTTGCTCATCTGTATTTACCAAATTTGATAAACATGTACCCACTTTTGTGATTAAAAAATTGCCTCAAAAGGAAGTTTTATAACAACTGTGACGTCAATTGCATTCAATACTGTTATTGAACTTGAGAAATAAATGTGGTATCTGGTGTCCAACTTAGAAAAACACTGAAGAGAATGGTCAGTGTGCTGTTCACTGTCGCCACTCTTACCTACCCTCCCCTTAACCCTTCTGGAAAGGAACAGTATGTACGATAAGATGATTGCCCTTGGTACAGAAATTTTATTTTATTTTTATTTTCTTGAGTAAAGTAAAAGCAAGTTTATTAGGAAAGTAAAGAAATAAAGAATGGCTACTCCATAGGCAGATGCCAGAAATTTTATTTTAGATCTTTTAGTTTCTTTTTGGTCTTTTAGATACTCTTAAAATGATAAATAAAGACAAATGTAACATACTTACTAATAAGCACTCCATTGCTTGATTGTAAAGATACATAGTCATGATCACATCCAACTTGCTTTTCCGTGTCTAAACTTGCAAATTTTAGCAGGATAATTTTATCTTCTGGCATCATTATTTTCCAAATATATAAGCTGGAGTAGGATAAGGTGAAAAAAAATATAATAAATGGCAGAGTCAAATTTGATAAATAAAATCTAATACTCGTGGCTTTAGCTCATAACTCAACAAAAATACAATTTTATATAATATTAGAAGATAATGGTAATGGAATATTTTATGTGAGAAAAATTTGTTTGTGCTCAAATTGCTCACATTTATCTGACAAATAGATGGGTGTTAATTGGACAATGACCAGAAACCACCCCTTAAATTTCATTTAGTTATAAAATACTAGAATTTTGATCTATAAATGGAAGAAACCCAAAATTCAGCTGAGTTATTAGCCTAATTAAAATTCATATTTGTCCAGAGCTTGAATTATGAATTATGATTCTTATGAATTATGAATTGACCATGAAGTATATGCTAACCTTAAACAGCCATGAAGTCCAAAGTCATCCTAAGTCATAGTACCTGGGTTACAATGTCATCCCTTTAACTCCCAGTAAGGTCAGCTGAGACTTTTCACTAACATTTTTAAAAGCATATTGAGCTCTTGGTAGTGCTGTTGCTACGTGTCAGGGCTCAGTGGATGGAGGAGGAACAGGTGAAAAGCAGAGCCCAGTACCCAGTGGTCAGCTCCCTTGGAAGTCCTGCTGAAGCAATTTTTAGGTCTTTAAGAGAGAGGTGAGATCCAAGATGGCTGAATAGGAACAGCTCTGGATTGCAGTTCCCAGTGAAAACATAGAAGGTGAGTGATCACCGCATTTCCAAACGAATTTTTACTGCCCATAGACCAGGAGATTCCCAGGCAGAAAAGCACCATGAGTCTCCAGCATGGCTGTTTCAGCCTGTGCAGTGGGTCTCTGCACAAAAACTCACACAAATCCAGGTGCCATTTCAACTCGTTACTGGAATGCCTGGGAGACAGAGTCACCCATTCAACTGAAAAAAAGGGGGCTGAAACAGGAAGTCAGGTGATCTGGCTCAGCTGGTCCCACCCCCGTGAAGACCAGAAATATGAAATGCTCTGGATTGAGAGTTTCACAGCAAGCACAGCTGGACCAAGGACAGTCCAGCTCTGTGGGGGGAAGGGTGTCATCTCCCATTATCGAGGCAGTCCGCCATTACTGAGGCAGTTCTAACTATACCCCTATAAACAAAAGTGCAAGGAGGTTCACACAGCAGCTGGGCAGAGCCCATGGCAGCTCAGCAATACCTCTGCTGGCAGACTGTGAATAGACTACCTCCTCGCTGGGTAGGGCATCTCTGAAAAAAGGCGCAGGATGACAAGAACTTATAAATAAAGCCCTACCTTCCTGGGACAGAGCACCTCGGAAAAAAAGGCAGTTATGAGCTCCACTGTAGCAGACTTAAATGTACCTGCCCAACAACTCTGAATAGAACAACAGAGCTCACAGTTCAGCACTTGACAGACAGACTGTCTCCTTAAGCAGCTCACTGACCCCCACATAACCAAAGAGACACCTCATAAAGGAGAGCTCAGGCTGACATCTGGGACAAATATAACAGAAGAAGAAACTGGCAGTAAACCTTACTGTTCTGCAGCTGCTGCAGATGATCCCCAGACAAGCAGGGTCTGGAGTGGACCTCCAGCAGTCCTACAGCAGGGGGGTCTGACTGTTAGAAGGAAAACTATGAAACAGAATGAAATAACTTCATCAGCAACAAAAAGGACATCCACTCAGAGACCTCATCTGAAAGTCACCAACCACAAAGACCACAGGCAGATAAATCCACAAAGATGGGAAGAAACCAGCACAAAAAGGATGAAAATGCCCAAAACCAGAATGCCTCTCTTCCTCCAAGGGATTACAACTCCTCACCAGCAAGGGAACAAGGTTGAATGGAGAATGAGTCTGATGAACTGACAGAAACCAGCTTCAGAAGGTAGGTAATAACAAACTTCTCTGAGCTAAAAGATCATGTTCTAACCCAATGCAAAGAAACTAATAACCTTGAAGAAGGTTTGATGAAATGCTAATGAGAATAAACAGCTTAGAGAGAAATATAAATGAATTGATGGAGCTGAAAAACACAACATGAGAACTCTGCAAAGCATACACAAGTTTCAATAGCCAAATTGACCAAGCAGAAAGGATATCAGAGATTGAAGATCAGCTCAATGAAATAAAATGAGAAGGCAAGATTAGAGAAAAAAGAGTAAAAAGAAATGAACAAAGCTTCCAAGAAATATGGGATTCTGTGAAAAGACCTAATCATGTTTGATAGGTGTACCTGAATGTGATGGAGAGAATGAATCCAAGCTGGAAAATATTCTTCAGGAGAACAATCTAGCAAGGCAGTCCAACATTCAAGTCCAGAAATACACAAAATACCACAAAGATACTCTTCAAGAAGAGCAACTCCAAGGCACATAATTGTCAGATTCACCAGGGCTGAAATGAAGGAAAAAATGCTAAGGGCAGCCAGAGAGAAAGGTCGGGTCACCCACAAAGCGAAGCCCATCAGATTCACAGTGGATCTCTCTGCAGAAACACTAAAAGCCAGAAGAGAGTGGAGGCCAATATTCAACATCCTTAAAGGAAAGAACTTTCAACCTAGATTTTCATATCCAGCCAAACTAAGCTTCATAAGTGAAGGAAAAATAAAATCCTTTATGAACAAGCAATTGCTGAGAGATTTCATCACCACCAGACCTGCCTCACAAGAGCTCCCGAAAGCAACAATAGAAAGGAACAATCAGTACCAGCCACTACAAAAACGTACCAAATGGTAAAAAGCAACAATACAATGAAGAAACTGCATCAAGTAATGGGCAAAACAACCAGCTAGCATCAAAATGGCAGGATCAAATTCACACATAACAATGTTAACCTTAAATGTAAATGGGCTAAATGTCCCAATCAAAACACAGACTGGCAAACTGGATAAAAAGTGAAAATCCACTGGTGTGCCGTGTCCAGGAGACCCATCTCACATGCAAGGATACACATAGGCTCAAAATAAAGGAATGGAGGAAGATCTACCAAGCAAATGAAGAGCCAAAAAAAAAAAAGCAGAAGTTGCAATCCTAATCTCTGATAAAATAGACTTTAAACCAACAAAGATCAAAAGAGACAAAGAAGGACATTACATAATGGTAAAAGGATCAATGCAGCAAGAAGAGCTAACGATCCTAAATGTGTACATGCCCAATGCAGGAGCACCCAGATACATAAAGCTAGTTCTCAATGACCTATAAAGAGAATTAGACTCCCACACAATAAGAATGGGAGACTTTAACACTCCACTGTCAATCAATATTAGACAGATCAACAAGTCAGAAAATTAACAAGGATATGCAGGACTAGAACTCAGACCTGGAGCAAGAAAACCTAATAGACATTTACAGAACTCTCCACCCCAAATCAACAGAATAAACATTCTTCTCAGCACCACATCACACTTACTTTAAAATTGACCACATAATTGGAAGTAAATCACTCCTCAGCAAATGCAAAAGAATGGAAATCATAACAAACAGTCTCTCAGACCACTGAGCAATCAAATTAGAACTCAGGATTCAGAAACTAACTCAAAAACTGCACAACTTCATGGAAACTGAACAACTGGCTCTTGAATGTTGAGTGGATAAACAATGAAATGAAAGCAGAAATAAAGATGTTCTCAAAACCAATGAAAATGAAGACACAACATACCAGAATCTCTGGGACACATTTAAAGCAGTGTCTAGAGGAAAATATATAGCAATAAATGCCCACATAAGAAGCAAGGAAAGATCTAAAACTCACACCCTATCATCAAAATTGAAAGAGCTAGAGGAGCAAGATCAAACAAATTCAAAAGCTAGCAGAAGACAAGAAATAGCTAAGATCAGAGCAGAACTGAAGGAGATAGAGACACAAAAAACCCATTAAAAAATCAGTAAATTCAGGAGCTGGTTTTTTGAAAAGATCAACAAAATAGACCACTAGTCAGATTAATAAAAAAGAGAGATTAATCATATAGATGCAATAAAAAACAATAAAGGGGATATCATCACCGATTCCACAGAAATACAAACCACCATCAGAGATTACTACAAACAACTCTATGCACATAAACCAGTAAACCTTGAAGAAACTGATAAATTCCTGGACACTTACAACCTCCAAAGCCTAAACCAGGAAGAATTCGAAACTCTGAATAGACCAAATACAAGGGCTGAAGTTGAGGCAGCAATTAATAGCTTACCAACTAAAAAAAGCCCAGGTCAGATGGGTTCACAGCCAAATTCTACCAGACATGCAAACAGGAGCTGGGACCACTCCTTCTGAAATTATTCCAAACAATCCAAAAACAAGGAATCCTCCCCAAATCATTTTATGAGACCAACATTCTGATACCAAAACCCGGCAGAGACTCAAGAAAAAAACTTCAGGCCAATATCCATGATGAACATAGATGCAAAAATCTTCAATAAAATACTGGCAAACCTATTGTAACAGCACGTCAAAAAGCTTATCCATCACGATCAAGTAGGCTTCATCCTGGGGATGCAAGGCTAGTTCAACATGCGCAAGTCTATAAACGTAATTCACCACATAAACAGAACCAAAGACAAAAACCACATTATCTCAATTGATGCAGAGAAGGCCTTTAACAAAATTCAGCAGCC